GACCTAGTTAAATGGTATTCGCATTAAGTGCTCACCTATTTCAACTATGAACGTTCTGGTGGGTAAGCTAGAGAAACGGGACTGGTCTCAAACATTTTTTTAGGTATTCTACGCGGCCATCATGCGTTGAAACGGTATACCTCGGAACAAGATATCTATATTTCAAAACCGTCCCCCAGATTTGAGTAATTTTGGAAAGCACCGATGAGTTTCTCGAAGCCTCACACCAAACCTCCTTCAGGATTATTCTCTACATGAGATAAGGGAAAGACGTAGCTTCAAAAGGCAGCGTTGAGGGATTTTACCCCCTCCATTTCAACCTTCTGTCCCGACCCATGCGGGACTAAATAAATTTTCTGATTGCGGCCCGCTAGCTGAGCTGAGCTTAAGACCTTCGCTTTATATGATTGCTGGACATTGCTATAGCAGTCAACATTTTTATAGAGGCATTTAACGATGAATTGAAGGAGTGGTGCACGCTTGCATTGTTAGATGCTTTCAACGAAGAAAATAGTCCAAACAACCAATAGCGGAGCAGCAGATTTTTGATCTCGGAACGAGGTGAAGCGCAGGATCGATTTCAGTTTGATAAGCAGGTAGTTTAGAACGACAAAAACCTAGCTAATTGATTGTTAATGATTCACCATAAAAGAAGGTAAGAAGTGTTTTGTGGTGAAGCTGGGAGTCATGAGAGAGGTAGGGAGATGGATATGGATGATTAGTTGCCCTATTCAATGAAGTGAATAGGGCAACTATTCAATGAAGTGAGGCGGGGGTAGAAAAATAGGAATAAAATAAAGATGAGAATACAAAAGGCACACGCACACAATATAATGTTCGTGGAACGGGCATATACGATTTTGGTTTCGGTGGCACTGTTCGAGAGATGACTGAAGTTTCATGACTCTTGCGCAGTATATATGAATAAGTGGTGCTGTTCAATTCTGCGCAGAATCCAGGAATGTTGGGCGATTAAACCGGCGCAGGTCCTGCCTCGCTCAGTCGTTAGAAGCGAAGAAATGGGTGTGTACTTCCCCGGCCCTGTCAGTGAAGGACAATGCGCAGAAGGAGGCAACGGTCACGGAACTAATGGGCATGAGCGCATCAGAGTGAATTTATAAAAGTTTCGCGCTGACTCAGTCTACTTGTAAAAAAAAAAAAAAAACACTCCCCGGTGGATTGAAGAATCGAAAGCGGCGGCCGGCTATCCGAGGACCGTAAACGTCGGAAAGTCGCCGCTGTTCTCCGAGAATGCTATAAGTGAAGCGGGCTCATGGGAAAGTAAAACATCCGCGAGAAAATGCCTGATAGTCACTGTTCACAACTCATTTCTTCCTTTTTTATTTGACATTGTTGTACTTGCTTCGGTACAACTCACGATGGTGTCGATTGCATGGTGTACACACTCTTTAGTGCTGAGTTCCTTCTTGGGAAACCAACTTTGTACTGTAGCCTCCTATCATGCCACACGCTATAGCCAGTGATGCTATAAATGTGCACCATCTCTTACAAAACAGGGAATTTTCTAAAGAAGAGCTGACGTCCGTTTCTGGGACAGACTTTCTCGTGCCCATTCCAGTCACTGTTGATGCTTGTACGTTTCGGCGTTCTTGGAGAGTATATCGATAACATCGTGTCCACGGCCGTGGGGTTCGCCACAAGTGGCGCGGCTTGCTGCAATTATATATAAAAACATACAACAGGATCGATTTCTTTTACTACGTGAAGACGCAGTATTTCCAGTCTGGCGACACGTGACGCGGTGCTAATACCCCGGTCGAACAGGTTGGAGTGGCAGGCCGAAACCGTCTTTGCGTGTGGTCACGCAAAGGAGATTGTTGCAGCGGTGTATACACTCAAGAAACTGTCCCTGCAGTGATTGCATCGATGCGCACATGCGTGTCTTCGTTGCGAGGTTCCTTGAAAAGCCGCACAAGAGCTCAGTCCGCGTCATGCGTTTGCTCAAATGGCGAAGGACAGTCAGCAGCTCTTCAACCAGGCACAAGATTGAACCCTAAGATATCGATGAATAAGACTAGGGCGACGCTATTGCCAGAGGCGATTGTGCTCCAATGCCTGCTGCTCAATAGAGGGTGTCGATTGCCAGGTCATAAAGGTATGGCAATATTATATATATTGCAGTGACACTGTGAAATGAGAGCGTTTGATAACCCTGTCCTTATACGAAGGCACGAATTCAGCCTCCCCCATGCCTGGGAACGTAAAACACAATTCTTTTGTCTGAAACGTATATATACAAACTTACGTGAAAAAAGGGTGAAGAAAATTTTATCTATATGGATGACATGCATACCATGCGCGATCCATAGACCATTGTCCTATTTGGCACTGCAGCATTCAGAAAATGTGTATGTACGTTGCTCAGAACTGCTAGAGGAGGGTAGTTCATGGTTTGCGCGATTTTTTATGCATATGGCAAACAAATACGACGAGACAACGCGAAAAATAGTTTTACTATACAGGCAACTTTGCCACAAGACACCTGCCTTCTGGAAACAGTGTAAAGAGAAAGCAAATAACTGATCTATTTGTCCGTACCGATGGTAGAAGTCGTCCAACGTAGCTTTCTGTATAGAAAACAAGAGAAAAAACACACAAAGCACAGAACGATCTGTGTGTTTTTCTATTGCATGCATCTTTTTAGCGCCTGCAAGGTAATATTTTTGCGAATCGCACCAAGTTGCCCAAGAAGTTTCAATAGAGCCAGACGAAGCTAGATCAAATCAATGCTTTTGGCGCTTCGCAGGCAGAGTATAGTTTTCATGGTTACAGACAATGTCAAACGCGAAGATGCTGAGTTTAACATATCTTACCTCCCCCTCTCTCTCCCCCACCCCTCGATTTTTCTTTGTAACTGTCATCGCGACAGCCTACCCAACATATAAACTACTTACACGCCCTAACTGCAACCCTTAAATGCCCTTTGTTCTCGAGGGGAGAACGGCTTTTTGCAGTATAAACAGGAAATTTTGCATCACGTTACGCATGAATGCCGTTACAAACGCGGTTTCTATTGCAGATGACGTGCGTGCAGGAAATCACTTGGATGACACGAACGATTCAACTCTTGGAACAGAGGTACAAGATCATCAACGTGGACCAGCGTACCAGATGCGATTGCCATGATGAAGCGACCTTTCTTTAAAACCTTTCAGGGACCGAAAATGTATACGGTCAGGCTTGGGCTGTGTCCTTCTTTAACAATCATTTCCTGACGACAATATCGAGGTAGCCTTCACAGTTTTTGTACAGATGGGAGCTAAATGCATATGAAAGTAGCACCTCATTCCTATAGTGATGCGTAATAGTCAAAAGCTACATGAAGCTTCTGTGAGCTCATATAATTTATTTTATAGGGGAGGGAACAGGAGGGTGTCATATTTACAGAGTACCGTTAGCTGGCTGCGCAACTTTTTGAGGATGACAATGGAGGGGAAAGCGAGCATGAGACCACATCTAATACCCGTGCCACACGGGCATAGAAAATGACATTTGGTGGCGAAGGCCTTCAGTTCCCGAATGACATTCGTTTCGCCGGCGCTGCTACACGTCCAAAGCGAATGACATTTGACTTGATGATGTCGATCACAGCACCTTCCAAGTGAGCATTGAGTGAATAGCAATAAAAAAATTAAGAAGCATTTACAAGCTTCATACACATCAGATAATCATCAAATGTAGAAATAAGCGTATTACGCTGTCCTAAGTTTTAGTTTCTTGCTGTGTTTTACAACGTTGCAGCCGACTGTAGCAACCTAAGCCAACACTAGTCAGATCCACAGCGTAAATAGACACAAAAATTGACAAGCGTTTCATTATCAATACTTTATTTTCTTCGTCTAACGTTCAAACCATCTTTTTAAGACTTTAGTGCAAATAAAAGACGGGAAATTTCATTTTTAGCTCAATATGATTTGTTTTATATACTTTCAGGTAAATCGCACTTCGCGAGCTGTGTCGTCGAGAGTAGGCATTTCTCAGTCAACTGAGTTGTGGCGAAGGCAGTTGGTGGCGAATGGCATTCGAATGGCATTCGGATGAATGCCATTTTGTTCGCCCGTGTGGCACCGCGCGAATGGCAATAAATCTGAAGGCATTCGGGGGTAAATGCCATTTTTCTGCCCGTGTGGCACGGGTATAAGGCAGTGTCCACTTTTTTCCACAATGCTGAGAATAACAAAACCCATGGCATGTTTTCGCAGTAACCAAGCGGTATTTCGAGCAACGGACTGCGCATGTCACAGGAAACAATGTAGATATGCGGACTTAGCGTTGTGCTGTCGGCTCCAAATAAGATGGGAGTCTACTATAACAAAACTGACGAGTCGTCAATCATAGTGAGTAGACGGAAGTGCCACCAAAGGACTCTCATTCATTATAGAGATCATAATATAAATGCACGCTGGTTGGTTGCAGCTATTTTGATCATCGTTTTCGATGACGCGAAACAAAGACAGATGAGTGTTTGTCGTGCGCACCAACGTGCTTCTCTCACACCGTAAGAGCCATGCTCCATAATACAGTAACGAGCAGTTTTTTTTTTTTTTGTTTTCAATTTCGCGAACCGACATGGACGCCCAGAACCACATGCCTGGTTACGTTGTTAGTAAGCCCGGCAGAGTGCACCTTCAAATTCTGGGTTCGCGAAACCCCACGTTAAATAACATATGCACAGACGCGACTAAACTAACATGATTTCATATCCACTGTCAGTTACTTCACCTATTGTCGCGCATCTTCTAGATGCCTCAACGACACGTGATCGAAGTTTCCCCTCCATGCACCCAAGTGGTTGATGAAAATCGTGCTCAACACGCTTACATTGACATACACACCGCTAACGCAACAGCGCGAGTTGCCGCGGACTCGCGAAATTCGCGCGCGTCAATGCACGACCGCGGGTGGCACGTGCGCGCGGACCAAGCGGGAGCAAAAGTTCACGTTTTGCTCAGACTTGGTGGACAGCGACGCGCGCTCACCTGGCGACGGAGAAGCGTCCAGCGTAGACGGGACTCGACGCCGGCGGCGGCTGTCCGGCTGCGCGGGCCACGGCCATGACGCCGTTCACGTCGCGCTTGCGGCCGGCGGCGGCAGGCGACAGGTCGAGCGTCTCGGCGCCGTGCTCGCCGGCGCTCGCCGTGGCGCTGGGCGAAGTGCGGCGGCGCTCGGTGCGCAGCACCGCGCTCCGGGGCCGCTCGGTGCCGTCGCGGCCCGAGGCCGCCAACGGCAGCTCGGCCCGTCGGGAAAACAGCACAGCTTCCCACGGCGTCCACCGGCCCTGATCGTGGCACACTTGCACGCTGAGGGGTTCGCGCGCGCGCTCCGACAAGGTCCACGGAGCCGCCGCCGGCGCGTAGCAGAGCGCGGGCTCCACCGTTGAGGTCGACGGTCCTCACGCCGCCGCACAGCTTCTCCTGCCACCTTCAATCCGCCGTGCCACCACACCGGCAGAGCAACTGCAACCGTCGCACGCTTCAGCCCGGCAGCCCGAGCGGGACTGGCGCGGGCGGTGCCGCCGCCATAGGGCGCTCCCCCTCGGGAGAGACTCCTCCTCCTGCCGCCCCCCGCGCCGCTGCGCACACCACCTCGCGGACACGTGGAGCGCGCCACGTGCGCCCCTCGCCCGTGCACCCTCTTCCGGGGTACGTCCTTCGGCCGTCCGGCCTTCGCCGGGACAATTTTCTCTCTCGCTTCAACAGCACCGAAAAGAATTGGATGCTTCCTCCGTCGTCCGTGTCGCCTTATGGCAGATAGAAATTAGGTGCCTTCTAGAACCATTACCACCACCTCTTTGTGTGTGCGTAATCAAACAATGGTAACCAACTGCTGAAGTATCTGCAACTGCCACGACTGATTGCTACTCCTTTAGAGTAACTTACAATGAGTAACTGTACGTCTCAATGGATTTGTCGCCTGAGAGGGCACTCTAAAATTATCTATACAAACGCTCACAAGAGGGACATGCATGTTTAGATGGATGTAGTGCCGTAAAAAACGCAATTAAAAAAAAACACTAATTTTTACTACTGTACTAGTGCTTTCTGAATATCTCGTTGGTTTTGTTTCCGGATCAGTGCTGAACTTTTAGATCAAAGGTGCAAGATGGCGGCAGACTCGAGAATCGATCTTTAATCAAGAGAGCCTCCCTGGGCAGACTTCGTCTATTTGTCTGGTGCCACACACTTCGTGAGGTACGCCATCCTGCGATTGCGTCTAAGCCAAGACACGTCAGCTTTCAAGTGAAGCTTAGACATGCGATTGCCTCAACAGACCCAGAGTGCTTTACAAGTTATTTGGTTCGACGCAGCATGGCGTTGTCAAGGAAAATCGGTATACTCAAGGCGAAACTTTTAGGCGCGAAAAAAATTTACTACCACAGGTCAAAGAGATCAGCACATAGATAAGCAAAACCAAATGCACAATAAAATTAGAAAAAAGAACGTTGTACCGGTACACGGAACGAAAAGGATAATTGATTGATATGTGGGGTTTAACGTCCCAAAACCACCATATGGTTATGAGAGACGCCGTGGGGGAATGCTCTGGAAATTTCGACCACCTGCTTTTCCTAATGTGCACCTAAATCTAAGCACAGGCCCTACAGCGCGAGACAGACGTGCGATTTTTCGTGCGATGCGGCGTGCGGTGCGACGATGTGACAGCTGGAAGTTGTGACGTTGCGTGACGTTTCGTGACGTATCATCGCAGCGCCGCGTAGCTGGTGCGGTGCGATGATCAAACCGGCCAGATATCTTCGTCGCCACATCACACCGCCGCATGGCAGCAGCCAATCACAGCGCGAGCAGACGTGTGACGTCACGCCGCTAGTGGCGCCATCTCCCTGTAGCCGCTCCGATCACCCGTGATCAAGGCCAGTTAAAGCGAGTCGATGGAGCGGTGAGAGCGTGGATTTGCTGACATCGCCGATTTGCTGACATCGCGACAAACATCGAGTACATTTCCCTGGTGACGTGATATTATTGCGGATTGGATAAAGTGTTGTTTGAAGTGTGCCATTTCTGCACGACAACGCCTGATTTAAAACCGTTAGCGAGACCGGAGATTGTGAGCAGCGATGCAAGGTCATTTCGCAGGTATACACACGGCTACCAGCGTTTCTGCGATGGTCACCTTCGCTTCCACCTTTACTCTTCACATCGATGGCATCGAGAAAGTAATAGCGTATGCAAACGCCTTACATATGCCTAATAGTGTTGTCAAAAACAAGCGCTCGATGACGAGCTCGCGTGTGAATGGCGTAGGCGACGGCCGGCGCCCGCCACGCTTTAGGCGTATACCTGTCGGAGTCGTCAATAATCAGCTGTTACCGCTGTCGCGACGTGCTTGTCATTCACGAAGACGTTTTATTCATTATTTTTATGGAGCCCCGCCGCGGTGGTCTAGTGGCTAAGGTACTCGGCTGCTGACCCGCAGGTCGCGGGTTCGATTCCCGGCTGCGGCGGCTGCATTTCTGATGGAGGCGGAAATGTTGTAGGCCCGTGTGCTCAGATTTGGGTGCACGTTAAAGAACCCCAGGTGGTCGAAATTTCCGGAGCCCTCCACTACGGCGTCTCTCATAATCAAATGGTGGTTTTGGGACGTTAAACCCCACATATCAATCAATCAATTATTTTTATGGAACAACGAAGCGTGGCTGTGCAATGTTGTTTGTTTTGAGCTCAATTACGGGGATACAAAGTCGTCCGATCACGCATGCCGAGGAGCCGCATGGGGGTGGAGCCCGCCGCTGATAGCTCCTTCGCCGCCGTGTGTCCCAAAACTACGCATGCGGTACGCAGCACCATGCGACACCGCACGGAAAATCGCACGTCTTTCTCACGCTTACTGCATTTTTGCCTCTATCGAAAATGCAGCCGCCGCAGCCGAGAATCGATCCCGCGACCTGCGGGTCAGCAGCCGAGTACCTTAGCCACTAGACCCCACGGTGGGGCAGGAACGAAAAGGCATAGCGACAGAATACGTGGCCTTCGACCTTAAACAAGAGTCACCTGTGCCACGTTATGTATATGTAAAACTTAGACCCGGTACACCACAGCGCGCGCTCGTCCAATGACACTTAGCCGCGATGAAATATAAATGTAAGAAATTAAAAAGACAAAAATCTGTGCAGCAACAAGTTGTTCATCAGTTTACCTTTCCCCAGAGGAGCCTTCCCGAATGGTGGTCTTGTGGACGGCGGCCGAGGACCACGATAGTGATGAGCATGAATGGCGCAGTTCTACATATGAACCCACACCCGTCGCCGACGCGAACTCACGACACTCGCACCGCACGCAGCTGGTCATATTTTGACTGCCTGCGCAGCCAAATGATGTTTGCTTTATATATGTTATTTTCTTACTAAGTGTCTTCATGAGCTACACATGTGTGGCTGGCATCAGGCATTTTTCTCTTTTTTTTTGAGGCGCCCTATGAGGTCACCGGGCGTTATCACTATAGGGGCGCGTGAACAGTAAAACTTAAAACCGAATGGAATACTGTTCGAACACTTTTCGAATAGCGAGTCAACCGTGTAAAAAACAGATCTATAATTGCGACACTTTCTTTTTTCAAATAAATATTCACAAAATTTAACAAAGTAACCCTACCGTAACATTTTACCGACAAACGATACCACAACTATGTAAACCGAGGTAAGATCATATACAGTATCGATAATGCCTTCAAGGTATTCTTTTTCTTTTCAGGACCAATATAACAGTAATTTCAGTGTACGAGGTTGTACTTGGTCACTACAGCTTTTAAATCACACTGGTTCCTACAAGTTAAATAATGAATGACCACGGACCTTATGATCAATATGGTGGACTGAGAACACATTCACTTATGGCACATCGGAGTTTAAAGCGGAAAATATTCTTCATTCCCCTACCAGTGAATGTTCTATATTTCTGTAAAATGTTCAACTGCATGCATATAGGCAATTCACTAATAGAAAAAAAAAATCAGAAAAATGATCCTTTCCTCTTTGAACTTAAAAGAGCGGAAGAATAAAACATTGTTATTCCTCAAAGGAATGACAAGGCTTGTTATTCCTTTGTGGTCTTCCCTTCAGTGCTGATATTTCGAAAAGTACTCGAAGAATACACGGTGTAACTCAAGCATACGCTATTCAATTCGTTATCTGAAATTTTCGGATATTCGCTCAGCCCTACTGAAAACATAACCGCAGAACGAAAGCTCTATATTTCAGACTGAAAGAATTCACGTCCCTACTACAGTTATATTGTTTATCGAATATTCCACGTCAAATCCCCTTCATGAACGGACCCTTATACGAGATAACTCGCACGCACATAACTCCTCACTTTAGACACTAGTGCATATAGACCATTTTCCACAGCTAGTTTGTCAATGCAAAAGTAGACGGCGCCACCATACCGAAGTGCCACGACCCTCTCTTCGGCGCGCGGCCATGATGTGGCATGAGGTGGACGTTGCCCTGCAACCTGGCCCCACCGCAGAGCTCCTAAAGTACTCGGCTACTGACGTGCAGGTCATGAGATCGAATCACAGCTGTGGTGGCTGCATGCATTTTTGATGAAGGGGAAAATGCTGTAGGTTCATTTGCTCAGATGTGGGTGCATGTTAAAAACCCCAGGTGGTCGAAATATTGGAGCCCTCCACTACGGCGTCTCTCATTATCATATGGTGGTTTTGGGACGTTAAGCCTCATATCAATCAAAGACCTGCAGTTTAGGGCGAGAAACTTTGGTGTTAGTGATTCTTAAAGAAGGGAAAAAGCACCTAGTTTCTGTCAGCCATAAGGTGACACGGCGCAGTTCCTACGAGAAAAAAGAAAAGAGCAACGTGTGGCGCGGACTACGTACGTACTACGCATGCGCTTTGGTGGGCTTCAACGCGGGAGCGACAGCAGGAAATGGGCTCTGCCCAGGCAGCGATGCGAAAAACGCCGCCTCCAGCGCCCCCATCGTCGCGCCGGTCATAAATGGGTATAGTGCAAAAAGAGCCGTCCGCAAGCGAACGTGCATAGGCACTCCTTTTTAGTAGGTATTTAGGCGCGGTTTCGGGAAAATTAAGGACCTGGCAAGCTTCTTCCTTCAAGCCAAGCTCGTTTCAGAAAAGTAGGAAGCTCATCAAAACGAACTGCGGGCACAAAAAAGATGTTTCAGTTATTTCGGTGTGCTGCCTGTGAGCGTAGCATGACATTGAGTGCGAGGCAAACACTTTGACGTGCGTTCTGTAATGCCTAAATGCTTCATAATCGTACATATACAAGATGCCAAAGTGATCAAGTGAATACACGAGCAATCCATCATACGACCAGTGGCACGAAGCTCTCTTTATCCGGCACGAATGGCCCTGGCGATTTTCGTCTCTGCAGTTGCAGTCTCCATCAATCTCGCACTTCCTGTGCGTCAAACTGTTTTATTACGCATGCTAGAATGTTCTGTTGACGGTTGTCTTTCATTTGTATATATACTGCAAATGGGGATACATATGT